TATATATATATATATATATATATATATATATATATATATATATATATATATATATATTGTCCAGTATTTGAATTATTTTTTAGATCATATGTAATGTAATTTAAATTCTTACACGTTGCCGCAACGTCTTTTCATTAGTGGCTGCACGTGTCAATAACTGTTTCACTTTGTCCAAAAGCTCAGATTTATGAATTAGCTGTTGCCTCAAAATTCTTAAATCCCCGTTATCATCCTCCTTTTGAGCTTTTTCTAACATAGTTACTCTCTGTTCAGCTAGTCGCAAATCTGATTCTAAACTTATTACACGCTTTTGAGATTCCTCATATTGCCTTTGAAGTAAAATGTTTCCCTCGACGATATTTGTTTTTCCCTACATCCAAAATGTGTAACCTTAATGATATATTAAAATATAGAAAAACAAATATATATTATATATCAAAAGAGAGGCTGGTTTACTTGATTGACTAGAAAATGAGTTTTCTTGGAACTAAATTTCAGTCTTTTATTCTCTGCCTGAAGTTTCTCAATGATTCGTTTCAATGTAAATATTGTTTTCTCCATTTCAAAGATAGACTTTTTAATGCCCGGTTCTCTCTCTGGTAAATCTTTATCTGACGATCTAGAGGTCGAATCAGACGATTTTTCTGCTTTTAATAATTTTATATATCTGTAATAATAATAATATATATATACAATAATATTAATTGTTTATTCCCTTATCTGCGTTTTGTAAAATAAGAAAAATGTTTAATTAATTAATTAATTAATAATTAATAAAAAATACTTTTCTAAATGATCCACTTTCTCTCGCAATCTCGGAGTATCCGAATTCGCCCTCTCTAATTCGAGTCGCAACTCAAAATTTTCACTTTCCAACTTGAGATTCATCTTTTCTAGAATATCTTTAGTCAGTTCTAATTTTTCCAGCTGGCTGATCACGCATACATTTCCCTATAAAATAACATTAAATAATAATCATCATAAAATCGACAAATATTAAAAAACATACGAACCTGAGAGACTGCTTCTAAAGCGACATTTCGACGTTTCAATTCTACTATTTCCAACATCAACTGTTCATTACCTTCCTTCCCCAAGCGACCAGTTAATTCCTTAACACGTTCTCTCAGTGTTAAGCATTCTTTCTCTAGTTCTTCTACTGTTTTACGTTGTACGCTCGACAGGAGTCTTGTTGACGAATCGCCAGATACGATATCGCTTTCACATTTAAGTCTACTTCTTAAATACCATTTCTCTCGTTCCATACATGAAACGACAGATCGAAGTTTCTCGTGATTTGCCAACAATTTCGCGTATTCATCGGTTTTCTCTTTAAGTTTCTCCTTTAATTTCTCTGCTGTTTGCTGCCATTTTTTCTGTTTCTCCCACAATGCAAGTTCTTCTGCGGTCTACAGAAAGAAGCACGCGTTAGAGACAGTAATGCATACATCGATATTCCGATACACACCTTAGCCTTTTTAGCTTCTTGCGCCTGATATTCACGGTCTAACTGAGTTTTCGTTTTATACAACTCTTCTTCCAGAGAAGCCACTTTACGCTCTAGTTGGGCTTCACGCTGCGATGTTTTCTTCTCCTGAGTTTTTATCGCCATGTATCTAAAATAAATTAAATATTCTTTGGACGTTATATATATTATATGCTTTATATCAATACTTTATATAATATACAGGATGTTTCCTTCATGATGACCCTTTGTGAGAACATAGAACAGATTGAGATGAACAAGAAAATTCTGTGCCGTTTTGCAATATTCGCAATAATAGTCGAGATATTAATTTAAAAAAGATTGGTGAATGATCACGCGCAATATGAGCTTTATCGCTCATTACATGCAGAAAGAAAATAGAATGACGTTTACAGCGCATAAGCGCCTAAAGCGAACGCAGCCATGATAGATGAGCTGCAATGGCGCCGTCTGCCGTTGTATACTTATACATTAAATCAAATTGAACAAAAAAGTCCTCTACCATTTTACAAATGACCACATAGATTTTTAAATATTAAAGAAAATTGTTACATATATGATTGTATACCATAATGCACAAATTTTCTTTAATTAATATCTAAAAATCTATGTGGTCATTTACAAAATGATAAAGGACTTTTTTGTTCAGTTTGACTTAATGTATAAGTATACAACGGCAGACGACGCCACTGCAGCTCATCTACCATATTGCGCGTGATCATTCACCAATCTTTTTTAATTAATATTTCGACTATTATTGCGAATATCGCAAAACGGCACAAAACTTTCTTGCTCATCTCAATCCGTTCTACCTCAATTCTACGTTCTCACAAAGAGTCATCATGGAGGTCTAAGACACCCTGTATATATTACATACAGAATGTCACATTTTATTTTTATCAGTCAAATGCTTTGTTTGATTTTTACAAAATCAATAGGAATATTCGCTAAAAAAGTAAAACCAGGACAACATATACCTGCGACTGAGTTGCTGTTTCAAGTCGGCTATTTCATACTTGTACATCTTTTCCTTCTCCATTAAAGATTGAAGCTGCCGGCGCAAAATATCTACTTGATTTTGTTGTTGCACTTGATCACGATGGCTAGTATATGCTGTCTCGTTCGTCTTCGTATCAACCCGAGCTGTCATTTGTTGAGATCGGCCTACAGACTCCATTAACTCAATTTCATTCTACAATATGGAAGAATAACAGAGACTTAATAATCATATAACATTATTCTGCAAATTGACAATGTAATTTAACATCATATAATAATCGTACCTGCAATTGTTGACAGGTAAGACTTAACTCGTGTATTTTGTCATCTTTCTCTTGTAGCTCCTTCATCAGTGAAATATTTCCTTTCGTGAGCAACACGCGATTTTCAGACAATTGTTGTCTGAGCATGTCGGCCTCGGCCTGCCATTTATTCAATTCACCGCGATAGCTTTCGAGTTCAGTTTTATGTTGTTGCTCTAATCTGTGAAAGTTAAAATTATTTTCAATGTTGTTATTGAAAATATAATTAAATTTACTAAATGATATTGTTTTATCATTAAACAAACCTTTCTCTCATACGATCCATATGTTTCAATCTTTCTTCTGCCAGTCGATGCCAACGATCACTTAATTCTTTGCTAATATTTAATTCTGCCTCGCAAGTAGACACTTTTTCTCGTAGCCTAACAATCTCTTCCTCTTGCGCGGCACTGCTCTTCTTTTTGGATGTGTTTTCATTGGATGTCGAAGCCAACGCCTTTCCGTGAACATTGTTCACAATCGATTCTTCGTTTCTTCTGATCTCACTCTGCATGGCGAAGATACGGTCGTGCAAATTCTTAATCTCGTCTTGAAAACGACTGGCTGCCCGACTATGTTCATCCCTGTCCTCTTTTAATAAATGTTGATACCTCAAAATGGTCTCCTCCTTTTGAGAGATTAATTGTTGCAAACTATTTATCGTTGATTTCAAAGCCAACTTGTCGGTGCATTCAATGTCCGTGGTACGCGACTGAGACGCCAACTCATCGAGTGCATTTTGCTTTTGGATAAGACACGAATCTTTTTCCTCGATTACCTTAGTTAAAGTATCCACTTTTGTTTGACACTCCACTAATTGTGATTCGCACTTGACGAGCATTGCGGAGCGTTCTGATACAAGTTTCAGTGCGTGATCCAGCTGCTCGTTAAGATGCGTAGAACTCTTGCTCTCTTCTTCTGTATTACTTTCCGCATCTTGGAATGTTTTCTCCATAGTTTCACTCGGTTCAGATGGCTTTCGAATATCTTCCGAAACCTCGTTTTTCTTCACTGTATGTTCTATTTTTTCATTCAGACAACAGGTGTAAGGATCTGTTTGAACACCGATTACTTGAAATTCCACCGCTACTTGAACAAACTTTGTCTCCAAATGCGGTACGTTAATTTGAAGTTGATGATCTTGTTGGGGATACCAAGCTCTCTGAATATTCATCATGTCCTGTTCCATGCCGGCAATTACTGACTCGTGTTCATTGAATTTGCTGTTAGCTATTTGAAGCTCATGCTCTAAGTGAGCTATTCGTCGTTTGTATTTGAAATCCTAGTTAACAGATACCAAAAATTTTTGTCTTACACAAATTTAACCTAAATGTAACCTATGATAAGAAATTAATATAAGATTTGAAAAAAAATGCGATAAACTTTTAAATCCAAGTTATTAACCTATCACTAATTACTAACTGATTTAATGTGATTTTGTCAATTTTATTATTGCAAGTTCTTATACTTAATTATATGATAGTTCTTATACTTAATTATATGATATAAACATACACTTAGTGTCTGCTGCGAAGTTTCCGCAAAATGTTCCATTATATTTTGAGCGTTACCGGCGCCAATTTGTTGTTCCAATATATCTTTCAGACGCTCGACAATCTCAAGACGTGTAGACAAGAGTTGCTGTTCATATTTCACATCTTCATGGCATTTTTTTACTTTTTGCATTTCTGAATCGATATCTCGTCGATCCATCTTCAATTTTGCAGCTAGTGCAATTACTTTTTCCAGGCTACTTAAAGAAGTCGATCCTGCATACTGGCATTGTAAAAAATATATAATATCCATATAATACCTAGAATAAACATTACAGAACGTTAGAATATATTTTCTGTATAAACGCATGTATAAATAGCTAAAAATATAATTCTTTTGATTTTACTTGCAACGATTGTCACATCGTTTCCGATAATCTTGTATATAGCCGCGCATTTCTTCACATTTCTTCTTAGAGTTGTCGAGCTCTTGCTGCGTGGAAGACAACTTATTCTGCAAACGCGTTTTCTGTGCCGTTAATTCCATTTCCGATATCTTTTTACTCGTAAGCTCAAAATCGAGTCTCGAAATAGTGGCCTTATCTTCACTTACAGCTTGCAAGTCTAATATTTGATGCCTGAGACTGTCTAATTCTAGCGTTTGCAATGAATTTAGCGAATACTGCAATTGAGCTTCTTCTTGAGAAATTTGTAGCACTTTCTTCAAATTTTCATTTTCTATAGTGAGCTGAACATTTATATTTTGAAGCTCTTGTATATGATTATCATTCACTTGGATAGTTTCCTGCAGCGCTATTTCCTTAGACAATTTTCGATGCATCTCGATCAGTTTCTCCTGCAGTTCAGAATTAGAAACGGTAAGTCGCTTAACGTTGTCTTCACATTTTGTCAACTGAGTTTGTGTTATCTCGTGCATTCTAGTCATCTGATCCGCTCGTTGTCTTTCAATCAATTCTTTGGTTTCTATTTCTTTTAAGCTCTGCTGTAAATTATCGGTCTCGCGATCATCGACTTTCCGCAAATCTTCCACAAGTTGATATTTCTCCTGCCTTATCGTTTCCATCTCGGTTTTCCAAGATAATATCTCATTGTAATCAAAAGACGTCGTCTTGGTTTCTAACAAAGCGTGATAACGTATATTCAATTCCTCGTGTTTCTCTTTTAATTCGTTATGCACCGCTGCACTTACAGAATTGTACAAATTACTCTGTAAAAGTGAAATTTCTGATAGCAATGTTTTATTGTATTTAGTTGCGTCCGCAAGGGTCTTGTTTAGTTCACTCTCTTTTTTTATTATTTCCTTTTGACACTCGTACAGTCTACTAGTTTCCTTGTTGAGTAACTGTTGAAGACTAGTATTTTTCCTATTTACGATAATTACTTCATTGATGGCATCTGCATACTCTCTTGTTTTTATCGCGAATACTTTCTGAATTTCGTTATCACCACTTTCTATAATCTGTAGATCTTTCTTATAAATGTCTAGCTGCTTCTTAAAACTATCTATCTCATCCTTCAATTCGTTGTTCTCTTGAACTAAGCGATCTTTTTGCTTTTCCCATTCCTCTGCTTCATTCTTATATGCCGTTTGCAAAGCTTTCATTTCCGTAAGATATATCGTCATCGCTTCGTCTTCTTCGCTATACTTCTCGTACAATTTCTTGACGTCTATATTTCTATTTACTGCTAAATCTTGCAATATATTATCTTTCTTTTGCAATTCTTTCCTGTAAACATGTGATCAACCATTCATAAGTTATAAAAGGAAAACAATACATAATACATAATACAACAATATATAATGCAATGATAATAACACTTTAATAAAAAAAAAATTGAAATACCTCAGCAGTTTAAGTTGCGATCTTAATTCAGCATTACTACCTTGTACCACATTAAGCTGTCCCTGTAATCTCATAGCTGGATGATACCAACCAGCTAAATGTCTAACATCTAAAGCTTCCAATAACCGTTCCAATGTATTGGATTGTATTTCCACTCCGCTCTTACCTAAAACAAGAAATACACGAAATTATCATGTACTTATTTTTGAAGTAGTTATGAAAACTCCAGGAATATAGTAATATCCCATAAAATCTGCATAAAAAAAAACAAGAAAAAATAAACAGATTTAATATATTTACACGTCATATTATAAAAAATAGAAAGATACTAACTAAGTAGAGGAGAGATCTAAGGTGTCATAAAATGGAAATGTGTGCAACACTTAAAGTACCATTAAAGTTAGTGAAAATTCACCATCTTGATTGTGTATACTGTCCATAATCTCGTGCATGCCTGTTCTAAGCGCTTCGTTTTCTTCTATAAGTATCTGAATATTTTGATTAAGTTCGAAAGTGTCAGTTTTGGAACGTACTTGCATATTTTCCGATTCCGCTAATTTAGTTGAATGTAAAAACTGATCACTAGAATCACCTAAATTATCTGAAATATCTAATATCTTCTCAGACTTGCTTAATTTGTATTTTAACATCCTTATCTACAAAAATGAGAAATTCATAAGTATTCTGATATGCACCACAACCATTATATGTTTCAAATAGACACATGTGTTACACAATTTTGATTCAAATGAATCAATTTATATCTTACATAAATTATCTTACATCTGACTTTAATTCTAAATTTTCTTCTACAAGGTTTTTATTTTGCTGAACAAGTTCTTCTAATTTTCTTGATTCTTCTTTTCGTTTCGCAACAACGCTTTTAATTGATACCGATTCATCCTCTGGAATCCCTAACTTTTCTCTGTGATACAAAAAAGTAACATTAAAGTATCTTCTTTTACGCATGTTATAAATTAAGAATCTTGACAATTTTACCTAAGAGTTAAAATTTCCATCTCTTGATACGAATTTAGCATCTCAAGTTTATTAACGACATTAACTAAATCTTCTATATGTTCATTTTTGTAACCCAATTTAACTTTTAATTCTTTAATTTCGTTTAATGCTTTAGTTAAAGCTTCATTTCCCTCCTCATATTGTTTTAATGTACACAGCACATCGCACAACTATATATGTATAAATTTTTATTATTTAACAAATTTATTATTATTTATAATAATACAAAGTATACATACAGAATGTCTCTTTCTTAGAATTAATTATTAAATTTGTAAAAGTAACAAGTTGTTTTTGCATGGAAGATATCATTTTTCAACAAAGAATATAATAAAGTAATAACAACAGCACCATGATACATTCTGCATATTATCTTGTGTAAAAATAAAATTATAAATGTATATCACACCTTGCTACTCTGAGATTTGGCATCTTCTTGCGCTTGGGATAATGCATCCTCCAAATTAGAAATTTTTTCATTTGCACTTTGTATTCTTTTCAACAAATTTTTCTGTTCTTTTCGTTTGTCGTTTTTCATAGGCCTGTGAAATAAATAAAATTAATACTTTAAAAACAAGCAATTAAATAATTAAATATACTTGGAAAATATCTCTTACTCCTGTACTTTTTGTTTTAATTTGTCTATAAGTGTAGCACTCTCATTTATTTCAACAACTGCTTCAGACAGTTTAGTCTTCAACTCAACTATAATTGCATCTCGGCGAATTATTTCGTCATTTAGATGAATAATTTCAGATTTGTTTTCTTCTTTAACCGATGTAACAGACTGCATTAAAGATTGTGATAAGCTTTCTTTTAAACGTGTAATTTCATCATCCTTCTCATTCAATATGTCCTTATAACAAAATAATAATATAAATATATACAAACACATTATGATCCTATTTTTTTAATGTTTCATTAAATTTAAATTTCTTTCATACCTTCCACTCAGATATTCTAGCATCAATAGCTATACCAAATTCATCTAAAATTCTGTCTCTGTCTATTTGTTGTGCAGTTACTTCTCTGATTTGAATAACCAAAGCTGCATTTTCCTGTTCAAATTTCAACATTTTGTCTACAGAAATATAACATAAAAACATTATAATAAATATAAGATTTATATTTATTTAGAATGCGTTAAACATATTATGTTAAAACTATGAACTATTCTCATAAATACCTTTATATTCTGCATCTCTTATTTGAGCGGAACGTAATTCCTCAGTCATTTCATTCATTTTTTCTGTTGCATCTTCCATTTCATCTTTCAATGTTGTTAGCCGTCCCTTAAGAATACTATTTTCTTTATCCAAACTCTAGAAGAAAAAAAATCTTAATATTATAGCAGAACTAACTTCCTAATTCTTTATTATTTGTATTTACCTCTAGTTCTATCATGAGAGTCTTAATTTTCTCATTTTTTCCTTGTGTATCTGTATAAGTATGTTCCAATAAACCTACATTCTTTATATATAAAATCTCAATTAATAAAAAATATTTTAAGCTATAAAAAATATATTATAAAAACTTACCTTGCTAAAACCATTGGATTCTTGTCTCGTCACGGATTTATCATGATCTGTCAAAGTAATAGTAATATAGATCCTTTTTGAGATTAATATCTCTCTCTCTCTCTCTTTCTCTCTCTCTCTCATATAGTAACTACTATCATAAATGCAAATTACCTTGAATTTTTCGTTTGGCAGCTTCAGGACGTAGCGAAACTATTGTTTCCTTTAATTCACCACATTCAAGGAGCAAGGCTTCTACCTAATATCAATAAATATATTAATATTAAATTAAATATATTAAATATTAAATTAAATATATTAAATATTAAAGAAGATAAATTATATAATATAAAAATATATTTTTAAGTAAATTCTTTTCATAATAAAAAATTAAACTATCAGATGATATATGATCAAATATTGTATCATAAATAAACATGTTATATTACTGCATATAGTAACACATATTTTTAATAGTTTTAATAGTTCTAATAGGCTTGCATTCACAAAACAACCTAATAATATGCGATTTATTGGGTTTTTTTCAATTTTTTCACAAAACAATGCAGTTGAATTATATCATTAACTAAGTAAAAGTGAAAAAAGATACGTTTTTTTTTAATATTATGGAAATATCGGAATCTCAGACAAAGAAGAATGCACGTAACCGAAAATCCGAAAATCAAATCTAATAAATCTAATAGCAAAAGCTAATTGCTGAAAGTAAGAACACTGGAACAATTATAATGCATATCATTACAAAACTATCTGATCTATTTTTAAATATATATTAATACAAATACGTAATAAATAATTTGATCTTTACTTGATTATCTTTATAAGTCATGATTTCTTGCGATAGTCTCATGAGCGTTCGTAAACTCTGTACATCGGTTATCTCGTCTACATCGCATCGAACTACAGCAGGAAAAAGATCTTCGATTTCCTCATCCGTTAAAGATGAAGCATTTACAGATAATATCCGATCCCAGTCTGTGTGAACCATTTTTGCGATAATAATTAAAAAGTGGAACACATACAATCTTTCACCACAGGGAAGTCTGAAAACAGCAGAGAACACAAACTAACTTCTCTTGAGGTGCATTCGGAAAACATCACCTGGCTGCTCTCCCTCTCTTTTCATTTCATTATCGTATCTCTCTCACTCCAATGCAGCGGATGCTCCCAGGTGATGTTTCCAAAAGTACCCTTGAAAGAGAGATAGTTTTCTACGCCATCTGCTCTTGGACCCGAATGTGACCAAACTAAAATAGCCAATTTATAATATTTAAAGGATAATGTAGAGTATATCATTACCATTAAAGAGATAAAGTCGATGATGTATTCGAACAATGTCGATAAGGTAGAAACGATTGTCACTAACGCAATTACACTACCCTTTTTTTCTATTTCTTGCACATACAGATCTTACGTAAATGTGTGTTGCTTTTACCATTTTTAGCGGAAAACCTAATCACATACGTAGAAATTTTTCTGCAAACTTTTCAGATATTCTTAAGCTTCTGAATTCAGATGCGAAAAGGTACAGCAAAGTTTTTTAAAATTTATTTCTGTTTGGAGCATCTACACTTACACGATATATAAAAACTGTGAAACTTTTGGATTAGACAAATATTACGCTAACAGCATGAGATTTTATATTTCAAATTTTTTTTTGTTTTCGTCATATATTGAGCAATGCTCCTATTTATTTTTGCACGTACTTGCGTAAGAATATTTGTAATTTTGCAGAAAAAATGTCAATATTCTGTCGGCAAAGACAGCTTTCAACATTTTTCAGCTTCAGCAACCCTCTAACTTAAGGCAGTATTTATAACAAAAATGATTTAAAAAATACATATATTACATATTTTTTATGTACGAATTTGTTGTATATTATAAATATCACAATTTAATATATTATTTCTTCATATAAAATGTATTATATTAAAAATGTCTAAAGTTCTTGAATCTAGCAAATGTTAAAGCACTACAACAAAATTTACTATAAAAGCGTTCCTAATTGTCTTGCGTTGACGTATGGCACATAACATCAAAGAGGCATTCTTCGTCGCTATCTGGATATATATCCTTCATAATAGATATTGGACATGGCTTGTCACTAGGGCAGCTTGGTAAATATAGTGGCTGTTCTTGAAACATAAATAGAACACTAGGACCCTGGGATACGCAACTAGGAAAAGACAAAATCAGATAATTACATATATGAAAACATACGCGACTTGACACACATAATATTAAAATAGAAACATACTCATATAAAACGAATGCGATATTAGATGCAAACGCATCAATAATACTACTTTTCCATGCTCTTTCATCTTCCCCGTGTAAAGTAAAAGAATCATGCATTAAAGGATGTGTGTCTTTAGCTACTCCGATTAAAGCTAGGAATTTTAGAATGGCTCCAGAATGAGTAAAATAAACCGTTGTTGTTGGACTTTCCTTAGACCTGTAAAATAAATCATATTCTTTGAGTGTATCGTATATTTACGAAAGTAAAATTGTATTTATTATTGAAAGAACGTACGAAAGAAAGTCAAACATGTCTTTTAAGACAGGACATGCTTGTTCATACGTTAGCTGATATCCATATCCATCGATCCAATAGAATTCTAAATCTTCTGCAAATTCAAAGACCTGTAAAATATAAATTTAAAAAATTAAATATAAAAAAAATGATTTCAGAGAAATCTTTTTAAATAAATTAAAATTTTTGACACACATTTTAATCTAACTTATATATGCACAAGTAAAATGTATATTGTTCATTGTTCATTTGACCTTAAAATCATTTAAGGAAAACATCTTGCACCAAGGAGACACTATACTTTGGTCCCAAGCAGTCTCAAAGGCACACATGGTGTGCATTAAAAGTGCAGTCTCTGAAGCATGTAATAACTATGTTTAATAAAAAAAACAACACTGAATAAGAACAAATATGTATGTATCAAATAATTATATGCTAACCATAATTAACACTATGGCCAATATAATTTTTAATATTATCCAACATATCAGTAACAAACTTGCTTTCCAGAAATTTTTTCTTTTCTGCTCTTGCTTTTGGATTCTTATCAACTTCCTGATGCCAGCGAGGACAAGCTTTGTAAAACTAAAAATAAATAATTATTTAAAGAAGTGGAGCATACAAAAGAAAGAGAATAATTAATAAGTCACATCTTAGAATTTAGAAGTATTAAAACAAAATTACCCTTATAATTGGGTCTTTATATATTGGTTCTGGATACCAAACACATTGACTATTTCGCCAACCAAATAATCCAGCAGCAAAGTGTCTTGCACTCTCTTCTGTGCGTTGAGTTGAGGTGTACCTAAACTAAAACTCAACAGTTGACAATCAAGGAACATAAATTCATATTTAACAACTATTTAGTCACATACTTTGTAGGTCTGATTACTATAGATTTCTGGCATCAAAGAAGGAAATCTTGCTTGATACCTCTCTCCAAGATCAACCATTTCATTTTCTCCCTCTGGTGCTAATTTCATTGTATCATTTGGAGTCAACAGTGGTCTCCACTTCTTAAGTAAAGCTATGTCATCAGCCGATAATCTTGTTCTACCTTCTTCATAATTTTTTAATATTAAATATTGCAGTTTTGGTAATTCATCTAACATACGAGGTATATACTTTTTGCCTGGATACCGAGTCCCATGCCGTAGAATCAACCAAATTTTTTTCTCTACACAGCCTGTAACAAAAAAAGAAGTTTATCAATATGCAAACATTCATAACAAGTAACACTGAGGATAAAAATATCTAAAAAATAGTATATATATTCTGTGAATACTATATAATATTATAATACTATAGAATACTATAATAACATATTTACTTATGAAATTTCTCCAAATAAGAAAGTGTCTATTTTCTTAAAACCTTAAGAAACCTTTAACTTTTTATGAAAGCAATTGTTTATTCTATTTAAATAAAAAAATTTAAATTTAAGTAAATATGTTATTAGAGAGTATTCATCAAATAAATATTAACTATTTTTTTAAATATTTTTTTCTCTCAGTGATCTCTGAAAACCATTAATTTTATAGTATATACCTGAGTATTTTATTGATGTGTCATTATAATTAGCTACACATCTATATGGAGTTTTAGATCCTAGCTGACATTTGTAACTATCATCTTTGATAGAAGAATTAGAAGTAAAAGAAATATTTGTAGTTATTATACACAGTATAATAATTATCGCAACTAGTTTCTCAAGCATGTTGTTTTTATAATACTGCAATCACATCACAAAGTTTACAACAATTTTATATATGTATATCTTCTACTGCATGAGATATATACTGTATCTGTGAAAAAACAAGTATATATTTCATAATTTGCAATCTTCTATTTTAAATTATGTTCTACATAAATAAATTATATTTATATATAATTTATATATAATTAGACACATACACAGAAATCGAAAAAAATTATCATTGTCAATATTAAAATGTCAAAAGCTTGCAGCAATAGGTGCGTTCAGAAGACACAACTGTTGTACAACGGTTGAGTAAAGGGACGTCTACATTGAAAGTGAATAGCAAGAAGTAGGAAGCAAGAGTAAGAAATTGACCAACCACAGTCGAATGTGAGAAGAATAATCAACTATGATTGGTCAATTTCTTATTCTTACTTCCTACTTCTTACTGCTTACTTCCAATGTAGACGTCCCTTAACATGTTAAGCGAGCAGACGCCATTTTTGTGAACAGTTTTCAGATAGGCTCTGTGAGCATCATATATGTAATACTACTATATTGCTAAAGGAGAGAGAAGTCCGGCCCCAGAACCGCGGTGCGGGAATATATATTTCTCTCTCTTTCTGAGTGTATTATGAACGTTATATACATGCATCAGATAGATCGTATCCGCCAATGGGAAAATAAAATTTATTGTACAAAATTAAATTGCATGTAATAGGTTATATCAGAGAGAAACCTGAGAGCGGCCACGCCATACGTTTTGGCCGACACCGATTTTTACGCTGTTCGATGCGCCATCTGCACCCATTTTTTAGGTGGAACTACGTTCCCTACACCCTTTTTCAAATATTGCCGGTAAAGTGTTGATTTGTTGTGTGTCCATTTTATGCCCATTTTCTGGCGATTCGTGTCCGTGTTAAGCGCATAATTGCGTGATTGAAAACATGAACTGTCCATGTTCTTAATCATATAATTATGCGCTTAGCACGGACACGAATCGCCAGAAAATGGGCATAGAATGGACACGCAACAAATTGACACTTTACCGGTAGCGTCTGAAAATGGACGTAGGGAACGTAGTTCCACCTAAAAAATGGGTGCAGATGGCGCATCGAACAGCGTGAAAATCGGTGTCTGCCAAAACGTATGGCGTGGCCGCTCTCAGGTTTCTTTCTGGTTATATATACCATGGTTGCTTTCTAACAAGAGATACAAGTCGACACAAATATCATTCTATCTTTGTTCCATATTTAGTAAGTAAGAAATAGCATGTTCGACTGGCTCTGAGTTAACCCACTCTGTAGGGTGCGTTCAGATTCTCTACCTGAGTGCACTATAATACTAGAAGTGCTATATAATATGTAACATATACTATAGTGTTTTTAGTAATAGAGTGCACCCGAATGAGGAATCTGAACGTAGCCTAGAGTCCCTATAATCAGAGTCTGGCCAATAGGGTGCAAGTTCTGATTGGTTGGCAATTTGTGGCTACTCCCGCTCATATTTGAATCACGATAACCTTACCCGTATCATTACAGTGTGTTGCATTTAAGAAATAAAAAACAAATAAACGTTGCAAAAGAATGAAATATCAGGTGTATTCATTTTATGTAACAGTTGCTAATAATATATATTCAGCGATAAGAACTTCTCCTGGTAATAATTTAATGCTATTCTCAGTTAATGAATTACGGTGACTGGACTCAAAGTCTGCAAACAAAAAATTGTGTTGACTAGTAAACTTAAATATCTCCAGTACTCTATCATAAATGAATAAATAATAATGTTTACATAGACAAATGTGGTTAGGGTTATTTGAATCTCATGCTCTTCAAGTCCCACATAACTGACAAAATTGTTGCAACTTTTGTTTTCCATAATAGACGCCTGACGATATTTTAATATTAACTGAACGCCGAAATTCACGGCTTATTACAACTAGATCATGTAAACAATAGCAAACAATATTGAAATAACTCTGTGTTTAACTTCTCTCTTGTCGTTTCTATCATATATATACTGACAGTATAAGAAATTCTTTGTGGATAATAATTGTTTAGATATAAGCAATGAAAGAAAGTTTAATATAACTTTTATAGAAACGTACTACTAGTTGTAATAAGATAGCCAGTGATAAATTATTATTGTTTAGTAGATAATTTATTTGTAAAATTATTGAAATTACTTAGCAGCAATAATTTATCAATGGCCAGGTTAGGCGACAGTTTCCCGAAAAGTAGAGGGGATAATCTTGGTATCAAAGAAAATCTCTACACAGTATAATTTAAAGATTCTGTTCTTTGTAACTGCATTGCTAAATTGGTGCAATAAATTGAAATGAGGCAAGTATACGTTTTCTCACTCTAACCTTTTGTATTAGTTCAGCAGTGCAGTTACAAAAAACAGATCTTTAAATTATATCGTGTAGTGATTTCTCTTGGTACCAACATTATCCCCTCCACTTTTCGGGAAACTGTCGCCTAACCCAATGGCCAAAATATTACATCCAGTAACACCCCGATAAAAAATGTTTTATGCAGAATGAGATATAAACTTTGTCCATATATTATTATGTATTGGGTGTAGAACTTAATTCGGTCCGTTTTTTTGCTTGAAAAACGCATTTATTTGAATGATAAAATGAATTAATACATTATTGAAAGTATTGTCCATCGCTAGCCACTACTTTTTCCCATCTTTCTGGCAATTTATGGATTCCGTCGCGGAAGAAGCGTTCATCTTTTGAAGCCAAGAATGAATCGAGCCAATTTTTGATACCCTGTTCTGAAGTGAAGTGTATTCCAGTCAAAGCGTTCTGCATCGAT